AAAAAAAAAAAAAAAAAAAGGAGTAATCTCTCTCCTGAAGAATACTCTTGCTGCCGAGAAGATGGTACACCCCCTGTCCCGAGGCAACCGGGTCGACGACGGGAGAGGCAGAGGAGTAATAAACTGTGGAGGGAAACACTCCAATATACATGAGACCAAAAGGTCATGGTCCTGGAAATGCCACAAAAATGGGAATAAGACAACCCAGCAAAATAATTTATGGGAAACCCAAATTAGTATTTTACAAAGGAAAAGCCTCTATTATAGCAAGAGAAACCAATGCTCATTAAAAAGGTCAGTAACATTTATAATTTTAATTAGCACATTTAACCTTTGTTTAAGTAAGACACATGAACCCTTTAACTGGTCCTTAATTTGATGGGAGGACCAGGTTATTATTCAATCACAAATTACCTCTGGAGCCCCTAGCTTTCAAGTTACACTAGACTCTCTCATTAAGTGGAAGGGTATTAATTATTTCCCATCTGGTCATAAGGTATTATACATGTGCCCAGCTTCTAACCCAGGTAGAGGATATTGTAATTATCCCGGAGAATTTTACTGTAAATATTGAAGTTGCGAAACAATTTCCATGAGATGGAAAGTACAGAACCCAGATAAGTATCTAAAGGTTGAACGGGGTCCACACGGATGTGTAAAGCCCTGGATAGGCCCCTCAAGGAAGATAACATATATTAAAACTTGTAAATTTCACTATATAAATATTAAAGAATCCCAAGATCCTGAGTAGTTATTAGAAAAAACCTGGAGCCTTAGAGTATGAGAACCCGGAAGGGATCGGGGGGTGCATATACTCATAAAGAAAGAGGTAGTTCCCCATGATTTGAGATCTGTTAGACCAAATCCAGTGGTGTGGGGAGTAGAAGACCCTAAAGTAAGAGATCCGAATAACCATTCAGAAAAATTAGAAAATAACACCCAAGTATTAACCACAGTAGAGACACCCCAAGAATATGGAAATGAAGCTCTTTAGAAAATTCTGCAAGCTACCTTTAGAGTATTAAATGATACACATCCAAATTTAACTAGAGAATGTTAGTTATAACATTAACCCACCTTTTTATGAAGCCATAAGCTCCATAGCAGAACCAAAAAGAGTGAATGGTACCAATCCTGCTGCTTGCTTATGGAAATCGGGAAAGGAAAATTCTCCAGGAATAACCCTATCTCGAGTCACTAGAAAAAGGAAATGTGTGAGAAATGTGCCCCTAGATAAGAATTACTTATGCCAAACAAAAATATTGATTAATGACCCTCACAAGCCAGCTCAGTGGCTGATTCCAGCACCTAAAACTAAATGAGTTTGTAACACTTTAAGAGTAACTCCATGTGTTTCTATAACAACCTTTAATGAAATTTATGAATTCTGCATACAGGTCATAATAGTTCCCAGGATTATTTATCATTCTGAAGAATATGTGTATACACAATATCAAAACCCAGAACATCATTTAGTGAAGCGAAAACCCCTCATAGCACTAACAGTAGCTGTATTGCTAGGCATAAGAGGGGCTAGATTAAGAACAAGTGTAGCTTCCTTAGTAAATCAGCACCAGGAGCTCAAAGAGCTTAGAATTTCAGTAGATGAAAATTTAAGAAGGATTGATAAATCTATAAAAGACCTCACAGACTTCCTAGACTCACTGGCTGAAGTGCCCTTACAAAATAGAAAGAGATTAAATCTATTATTTTTACGACAAAGAGGCCTTTGTGCTGCCCTTAAAGAAGAATGTTGTGTATATGTAAATAAAAGTGGAATAGTAAGAGAGACCATGGCTAAATTACAGGAAAGACTGGAAAAGAGAAAAAAAGAACAAGAAATGCACCAGAACTGGTATGAATCTTAGTTTAATTATTCCCCCTGGTTAACTACTTTATTATCCACCATAATGGGGCCCTTAATTTTACTAATTTTAATACTTACTTTAGGCCCTTGCATTCTCAATAAAATTATTAATATCGTAAAAAACAGATTAGAAGCAGCACACCTTATGTTAATACATGCCAAATATGAAGCTTTAAAGAGAGAAGAAACAGAAGATTATTTAGAATTAAGTAGAAAAGAACTACAAAAATTCAGCGAACAAAAGTAAAAAATAGAAAAAGGGGGGTTTGTGATAGATAGAAACTCTTTTGTTTGCCTAAATATATAGATATGATAGAATGCTTTGCGAAATTGTACTTTAGATATAAAGTTGAGAAAGGGGTTTGAAGGCCACTAACTCGCTGAAGTTGGCATAATTAATAACAGCCTAGCAGAAATCCCTGGAACACTAGGACAAGATAAACTTGGAGAGAGAAACAGTGAGAAAAGGTCAATGGAACAGGAGTGAGGAAGACTTGAAGCCTCCCTTCTACGACCACAAGAGAGTAGAAAAGGATCATCTAATGACCAGAGACGCATGCTCAGAAACGCCGGAGGAAAGCCACATCACCAGGAGGCCGAAACGAATAACAGGACAAACACGGAAGCGGGAAGCGCGGCAGCTCCGTGGGGAAGAGGTTTCTCCTCCTCCTCCCTGCCGCCCGGCGCCGACTTTTGCTTATTGCTGGCTTGCTATAATTAATAAAAACCTTTCCTTATATATCTGTTTCTAGTGTATTTATAACAACCAGGTTGAAAGAGACCTTCAAGATCATCAAGTCCAACCCATGCCCTAACACCTCAACTAAACCATGCCACCAAGTGCCACACCCAATCTGTTTTAAACACATCCAGGGATGGTGACGCTACCACCTCCCCCAGCAGACCATTCCAGTAAAAAACCTTTCACCCCTTCAGTAAAAAACTTTTTCCTAATATCCAACCTAAATTTCCCTTGGCGCAGCTTGACACTGTGTCCTCTTGTTCTGTCACTTTCTCTCTTGTTGCTCAGAGAAAGAGACCGACCCCCACCCAACAACAACCACCTTTCAGGAAGTTGTAGATAGAGAGTGATAGGGTCACCTCTGAGTCTCCTTTTCTCCAGGCTAAACAACCCCAGCTCCCTCAGTTGTTCCTCACAGGGTTTGTGTTCCAAGCCCCTCACCAGCCTTGTTACCTCCTCTGGACATGCTCAAGTATCACAACATCCTTCCTGAACTGAGGGGCCCAGAACTGGACACAGAACTCCAGGTGCAGTCTCACCAGTGCTGAGTACAGGGGGAGAATGAGCTCCCTGCTCCTGCTGGCCACACTATTCCTGATCCAGGCCAGGGGCCGTTGGCCTTCTTGGCCACCAGGGCTCTCTGCTGGCTCATATTCAGCTGATGTTACCAGTACCCCCAGGTCCATTTCTGCCTGGGCACTGTCCAGCCACACTGTCCCCAGCCATGACTACAGTGTCAGCTGTACAGTACAGCTGTTTACAGTACAGATGGCTACAGCTTGAGTACAAATGTATTCTGATCCTGAGACCACACAACCCAGAGTGACCATTAAGACAGCCAATACAGCACAGCCAATACAGAATGCAACTGCAGCAGGAATCAAACGATCAGTTGACAAACACCAATTTTCAGAAATGAGGAGTTGTCATTTGGCTTGCTAATCAGAAGTCATCAGAGCGCTCAAATTTGACCAACTGTCTCACTAGAACTTTCTGTTTTCAGAGCCTGCCAGATGAATCTAGAATTGCCCAAGACAGAACAAGGCCCAAGAGAACAGCAACAAGACAGAGTAACATAGAGATTGTGTTACTGGAACAGTTAACTTGAGCCCTTCAAGCTATTCCCTCCATTTATAAGTGCCCAGATGCAACTGGGTTTATTCACTCATCATCCCTAGATGATGCCTCATCCTGCCTCCAAGCCATCCTTTCAGTTGACCTGGCAAGATCCCATGCTAGCATGGGCTCCAACAGCACTACAGCAAATCATGGAGCTATTCTTTTTAACATGTCAGCTTTATGTACAATAAAAACAATTTTTAATTGAAGTTACCATGCACAAAAATAAAACACGCCCACGATCCATGATTTCTTGTTGAAGCAAGGTCTATATAAAGGGAGAAAAGTCCAATAAAAGGTTTTCTGCTGACATCGCTTAAAGTCAGATAGGAGATCTTCAGCATATCTTTAAAACTGGTAGACCCTGCATTACAAGAAATTAAAGCTCAGATCCCTACAGCCAGGGATGGAACCAGAGGCCCATGAAGGGAGTTTGAATGAAAGACTCCTTAGGTGCTTCTGTCCATGCTGACAGAATGGTGCAGCACACAGAACTTCCACCTGGCTGCCCTTTGTCAAGCATCAAGACAGTCAACATGAGTTACATGGTATTTGCCATATACAATGCACAGTGCTGTGAAATACCTCTGCAACACACAGTATCTGCCATTCTTTACTGAGCATTTCAGACTATCAGGATAAAATTCAACATTTAGCTGAAAGATTAGACAAAAGAAGCCACTTAATAGCTGTCCTGGGTAACCCAAATATTGTATTCCATACCCATCTGTGCCTAAAATTGATTGTCTCTTTAAGACCATACCTAGTGGTATGGCCAGAATCAGAATCACAGGGCTGGGGGTGGGAGCAGGAAAGTGTCAAACTCTTTAAAAGTTAAGGCACTCTGGCAGAGCTTTCTCTCATCTCTCATAGCTTTTGCCCACGGCAGAGGCTCTGCTTTGGGTTTTTTCTTCCTCAGTTTCTCTCTGACCTCCAAAGGGGGTCAGTTGCATATACTGATGGAGCTGCTGCCACCAGAGATAAAATGCAGGGCTGCCATAATTTTCCCTTTGTCTCCTCACATGCAGTTGCCCGTGGCAAGCATCATCTTGGGGAGAGGGGTCACTTTACCATTCTGAATTTCTCTTTGTTCCCAGGGAGTCCATGAGATTTAGCAATTTTGTATCTAGTGATTATTTATTGTTATTTTGCACCTGTTGCTGTTTTGCTTGTTAGTAAACTTACTTTTTCACTTATATTTACACATATTAATTTCTTGTGGAAAGGGAATGGTTAAAGCTAAAATAGCTCAGTTCAGAGCATCCCCCTTAAATTATCTTAAGCCAAGACTATAGCCAATATTTAAATCCCATTTTGCCACAAAACCAGCAATTCAGAAGCAACAACAGTATAAAAGCTGCCATGAAAGTCTGTGGCATTAGAATAGACATCTGGCATCTTCCAGAGAAACACACAGTTTTCAACACAGGCAGAAAAGGTTGTATTTCGTCTCCCTGATCCTACAGATTACAAGAAGGCCACACTTCAATCTCAGAGTTTTTCTTTATGGATGGAGCTTTATTGTTTCCTTCAGTTACACTGGTGGCAGAAAAGTACTCTCGGAAGACCTGTTCAGCATTCTTAATTGTATTCCAAAGAATATACAGAAGGTACCTAGACTTCAAACCAATTTCCTTTATGGAAGTCACAAATCTGTGTATCAAAGCACAAATTAAATTTAATGAAATGCTTCATATTTGTACTGGTTTGGGCTAGGACAGAGTTCAATCTCTCCATGGTAACTTGCATGGAACTGTGTTTTAGAGAAGAGTGTTGCTAATACAGAGGTTTCTTCATTAGTGCTGAGCACAGCTTACACAGCATCAAGGCCTTTTCTGCTCCTCAAACTGTACCACCAACAAGCAGACTGGGTTGCACAAGGAGTTGTGCAGGGACATGTCTGGGATGGCTAACCCAAATGACCCAAGGGATATTCCAGACAATACCATAAAATCCCAGAATTGTTTGGATTATAAGGGGCCTTAAAGACCATCTTGTTCCACCCCTTGCCATGGGCAAGGATGCCTTCCCCTAGACCAGGTGGCTCCAAGCCTCATGCAATTTGGTGTAGGTGCTTTCTAGATAAAGCTGGGGAAGTAGGAGGAAGAGGAGGGGCATGTGAGGCCTTACATCATTTACATTCCTAAGCCACTGTTTCACATAATGGAGGCTTGCTCTCCTGGGGATGGCTGAACACTTGCCTGTCCATAGGAAGCGGGGAATGAATTCCTTGGTTTACTGTACTTGTGTGCATGGCTTTTGCTTTCCCTATTGAACTGTCTTTATCTCAATCCATGAAATTTTCTCACTTTTTACCCTTCTGATTCTCTCCACCATCCCAGTGGAGGAGGAGTAAGCAATAGTGAGGGGCTGAGTTGCCAGGTGGGATTAAACAACGAAAATTTCATAAGAGGAACTTAAAGTACTGAAGAATCAGCGCAAAAAACATTAGTTGTTGCTTATTTTCTTTGTTTTCTTCAAATTCACCTCCCAATTTCACTGCCCTGTACAGAGCTCCTCAAAGGATGATTTACCAGTCCTCAAGACTCAAAGGTTGACAGCACGGCTCATTGATGCTAAATAAAAGCAGAAAAGCTTTTAGCTTTCTCCTGGCTAGATACAACACTGATTTACACCAATATTTACAAGGCAGAAATACATTTGTTATATTCTTCTCATATTACTAAAATTTTATGTTGCCTAGTATTGATCTCAGACAATGTCCATGATGAAACAATGGCAAACTGTTTTCAAAGCAGAGCCTTTAATTTCTGCACACCTTCTGGTCAGAGCTGAGATACACTGATCACCTGGCAGCCAGATGGGGAAAAGGCTTATGCCATCAAAATGCTTGTTCCCCTTCTTGCTCCACTATTCTCACTTCAGCCCCAAGGCCAACTTCATTTTACTGGGAAACTTCAGGTCAAGCTGACCCAACCCTAATGCAGCAAAACAATTTTCTTTTGACCAGATTAGCTTTCTGCAATGGAAAAGGTAAATGGTTTGCTATGTAATATGGCGTGAAAGAGCTACTGGAGAGGCAGGAACGTGTATACAGGCATGGAACATGCCCTCTTCAATGGAACTAAGCTGTTAATTCAACTGAAACCATAACATGAAACCTCAGCTTGCAAATGCAAGTATAACTTTCTGTCACTTACTTGAATCCATTCCTGTTCCATCATCCAAAAAACATAGCATGAATCCACCTCGCAGGTCCTCTCGTCGCTCTGCAAGGGAAGACTTACTCACTGCTCCCATAAGCAGAAGTTAAAAGTTCCACAAAATGGGATCTGTGTTAACAACCAAAGTAACACAACAAATGGGACTTTTACACCTGCAATATGACTAAGCTGTAAGAAAGAACACCAGATTTTTGTTACAGAATGATTAATCACTTCTGTACTACAAAACTGTGTTGTGTCAGTGTAGTTTTTTAGCATCCATTAAAAACAGTGACTTCACTGTGATTTCGCCTGACCTCAGGTGAAGGTTGACTTAATTGCTTCCCAAAGATATTTGTAAAAGGTACCCCTTTTTGAAAGACAACAGGCACTATAGCACAGAAGAAATGGTAGAACAATAGAATTATTCCAGTTGGAAAAGACCCTTAAGATCATCATGTCCAACCACAAATGTAACCCAGCTGAGTTCACTAAACCAGGTCTCAAAACACTAGATCGAGACATTTTTGAAATATGGGTAGACAGTGACTCCCCCACTGCCCTGGGCAGCCTGTTCTAGTGTATGACTACACTTTCAGTGAAGAAATTTTCCCTAATATCCAATCTAAACTTCTCCTGGCACAACTTGAGGCTGTTTCCTCTTGTTCCTGTCACTTGTTACCTGGAAGAAGAATCCAATCCCCACCTGGCTGCCCCCTCCTGTCAGGGAGCTGTAAGAGTAATAAGACCCCCCTGAGCCTCCTTTTTTCCAGGCTGACTCCCCCCAGCTTCCTTAGCCACTTCTCACCAGACATGTGCTTCAGCCCCTTCTTCAGCTCCCTTACCCTTCTCTGGACATGCTCCTGCCTCTCAATGTCTTTCTTGTCTTTCTTGTCTGGAGCAGATCAGTACCAACCCCAGGTTGCATAAGCACCCTTGCTCTTATTCTGTCAAGGACAACAGACATTTGCAGCCTAAATCCAAGGTATCTACTGACTTAATTGCTGACATGCAAGGAAGCAGCAGGAGTGACTTACCAGTATAAATGTCTATTCTCGTGGCATCTGCATCTCTACAAAAAAATAAAACCACAACTATTATTCAAATGTTAAACGGAAATGAAGCTAAAAATCCAGGCATACAAAAGCATTTCCAAAATAACTTGGCTGCACAGATCAAAGTCCACAGAGGCCTCAGAGTCATCACTGACAGAAAACGTTTTCCTACTTTATGTCTATTTGAACCTAAACTTGAGCATAAGACATTGCTGGCACACAAACAGTTCTGGTGACAGTAAGTAGCACTGGCATTCTAGGAATTCTGGGATTGGGATTGGGAATCAAATGAGTACATGCTTATGAGCTCCCTCCTGTACAAAGGAAACAATGCCTATAGTTTTTCTGTCAAGCTGCCTACAAAAGGTTTAGTAACTCCACATAAAGCTTCATCCCAATACATTTAAAGATTGTTACAGGAAACTGTCATTACAAGATCACTGAAGTGAGGCCCTTCACACATGGCATCCTCCTTTGTATCTGAAAGTACAGCATGTACAGCACTACTTCCCTCTTCTCAAACCAACCTTGGTTTGCTGACTAGATGCCTGGAGCTGTAGCGCTGTAACAAAATCCCACTTGGCAAATGCCACAGCCACTTTGTTTCAATTTAGTACCTCCTGCCCAGCCTAGCTACAGTCTTCCTAGAAGACAACCTCCCTATAAGCAAGAGGGGAACCAAGAGGTGAAGGGAAAACCACCCTCAAAGACCCTACTTTTTATTACTTGTAGCAACACTGAACACAGCACCAACTCTCTAAGGCTTGCTCGAACACACACACACACAGAGCTGATTCTCTAAACAGAAGCTTTCCAGCTCAAAAATGCCCCAGTTTCAGCACCTTACATCACAAAATGCACACTGTGACAAATCACATTTGAGAGAAAACAATCCTAAAATATTTCCACAGTGTTTCATGAAAGTACTTCCTGCAGCTCAAGAGAAAAGCATGCAAAGCTTGGGAGGCTGCTACAGCAGGGATTCCCCACACACCCAAGAGAGGTGACCCAACACCTGCAATTTCCAAAGACCATATCTCCTCAAGCGTCAAAATTCCTTTAGCTGTTCTTGATCTGTTTTTCAGCATCCCACTTCTGATTTGATTTTCATGTTTATTGTCATGTTTGATACTATGACTATTTAGATATCAGAAGAGTCACAGCTCCTGTAATATTTTAGCCATTTCTTTACACAGAAAGGCAGTTTTTTCTTTAAATCTATCTTGTGTCTGCTATCAATTTACTTTACAATATGAGTTGTTTCAGGATTCATTCAAACCTGTCTTTCCAGGAATAATTTATTTTATTTTAGGAGCTTGATGTGCCAGTGTAAGAGGAGCAAGTGAAATATTCATACTGAATTGTGGCACTGTCTTCTATTTTCTTGCAAAATCTACTAGAAGTGAAAATTGCTTAAGATCAACTAATACATAGGTGAATTAAATCTTAACCAAAGTTACCTCAGGAATTAGGTAGCCTCAGGTACATACCTGGCGTTATCTACAAGTTCTGCAAGGGCACCAAACAGGAACTCATGGGTAGTTCTGCAATGAAACACAGAAGTCAGCAGAATTACATCAACACTTGAAAAAAGAGAGACCTTTAAATAAATGAGAATCTCAACTACATTTTAAATAAATCCAGTCAAATGGGTACAACACTATGGTCTGGCCGACAGCAGACTAGGAATGAGTGATTTCTGTCTGCTAGAGGCAGCCATGCATGCTGCTCCAAACTGCAGCTCACTATGGTCTAAAACATATCACAGCTACACAGACACGATACAGAACATGATGATCCAATGAACCAGCCTATGACCCAGTCAACAGTTCATGGAAATCCTTATTCACCACACTGACAGATCTTTTCACAGCAATTAAATACTGCTTATAAGTAAATATGGCCAGATGAGGATTATCATAGAATCACAGAACAGTTTGAGTTGGAAGGAACCTTAAAGCTCATTTCATTCTAATCCTCCTGCCATGGGTAGGGACACCTTGCTCCAAGCCCTGTCCAACCCAGCCTTGAACACTTCTGGGGATGCGGTAGCCACAGCCACTCTGGGCAACAAGCCATGAACAACATTATGAACACGGTGTGTCTCCCCGCTGCACACAGTCCCATGGCAGAAGTTATTTGTGACAGAAAAAAGCTTCCAGATCCTAACATCCAGCAGATGCATCTGCTTCTAATCCTGAGAAAGACTCCATTGTACCATGCCACCTTCATAACTTAATGCTAAAATCATGAACCCAGCTATTACTTCAGCACAATCTCAAGAGACATGTTTAGTTTCCAGCCTCTTAACTGCCACCTCTTATAAGCAGCTCCCATTTGGAAGCCATTCGTTCTATGCCTCTACATTGAAAGAATTGTGCCCAAGATGACAACCTAACTTCAAAATCTAACAATTATTTCAAACATAGATGAACCACATCCACCATAATGTTAACAACAAAGACGTGGAGAAACAGTTGATGGGATTTGCTCCTCTAGGTTGTTCAATGAAGAGACCAAGACCTCAGAAACTAGTTTTATCAACATGTTTCTGTTGGCACAAAACGTTCACGTATAACCTGTTCTCACCACTACACAAAAAGACCAACAGGTGACCAAAGAGAAGACATTTGTTCATATTTTCAGCTTTCCAAGAACAGACACATAGGTACTTCCCACACATAAAATATATAGCTGTCCACATTGTTAATAACCACAAAAGAAGCTTTCAATACCCATCTTCAGCGTGACCACACTGAACCATCAACACAGTTCCAGTCAGAGGAAAACACATCAAACCTTCAAAGTTATCACTAAAACTACAACAAAGATTTCCGTATCTTCACTGTCCCACAAAGATAAGATCAATGAGAACTGTGTTTAGAAAACCATCTACAAATCAGAAAGCTTCCACAGAAACACAATCTCAGTGTTCCTTCCTTTGAACAGGATTTCCTGCTGTCCTGGTTTCAGCAGGGATAGAATTAATTTTCTTCTCAGTAGGTGTTACAGAGTTATGTTTTGGATTTAGTGTGAGAATAAGGTTGATAACACACCGATGTCTGGTGGCAAGCCATGCATATCCTAAGTCAAGGACTTTTGGGTGTCCTACGCTAGTCAGCTATACAAGAAGCTGGGAGGGGATGGCTAGGGCAGCTGACCCAAACCAGCCAGAGAAATATTCTGTACCACAGAATGTTCTGCTCAGTTACAGCTCCTACAGGGAAGCTGGCCAGTAAGGGGACAAGTTGGGCATGGGTCAGTGGGTGCTGAGCAATTGTACTGAGCATCACCTGACTTTTGGGGCTTATCCCTCTTTCTCTTTTTCCTATTATTATTGTATCTTTCTTCACTCCAATTTTTGAACTGTTCTTATCTCAGCCCATGGGTTTTAGCCTTGTTTGATTCCACATCCCACTGGGGAGATGACTGAGCAGGTACATAAGACTAAAGATTTCAAGTGTTCTTTTGAGTTTACAAGTGTCTATTCAGCTCCACAGGTCAACATCACAGAAGTTTATTTAGGAAGTAATCCATAAGCAAATGGATGCTTCAGCACTAGTAACTATGCTTCCTGAGCACCTTTTACTCCACAATTTTAGGAATACTTCAAAGAAAAGATGCAAGTAGGAGAAATAAGGATTTCCAAAGAAAGATGCTAGAACAAAACAACTGATAACACAGCTATAGATGATAAGAAAGGCAAAACATAACATCTCCACATAGCCCAACACTGTACTGATCTCAGCCATCTCCCAAAACTACTTCTTGTGCTGACACAAGCAAAGGGAAACTGTGTTACAAGCCAATTAAATTCACTCCAGCTATTTATCACTAACAGAAATGAATATACAACTCCTAAGTAGACTTCAAAGTCTTCTACTCAATTCATGAATTTGAACACACTTGTCAATATCTAACTAATGTCCCATGAAGTGCTTTGGCCTGATTCAATCAACTAATCTCAAACAAATCCCATGGTCTTCCCTTACAGTCCAAAGTGCCTGAAATACTTCACATCCATCATGATCAACCAGTGACCATTTCTCACACCTCCCCAAACAAAGTTTGGGATTATTTTACTTGCAAAACAACTATAAAAAAACAAGACAAGTTGTTGGGAAAATGAAGTTCATCACACTTTGCAAATAACTTGCAAACACAGTGAGTTTATAGGCATCATCAGAGGCAACAACAACCTGCATCAAAGCATCCAAAATTCAACTATTACTACCACACAATGGGTGAAACAATGTAGAGAAGGGAGGAAAGTATCATCAAAATCCATAGTCTCAACAACAGCCCATCTGCATAAAAAAGATCAGCCCATCTGCCTGGACCATCCCACAATGTGCATCTTCCACTTGAGCTCCATGCAGAGCTGGAGGCTTGACAATGAACAGAACAGGCAAGTCCAACACTGGCAATTTATTGAAACATAGGAGCAAAAGGTCAAGTTAGACAGCTCTAAAATACAACCAACTTCAAACACCTCTACAAAGAATCATTTGGAGTAATGTCCCAAGGGAAGAAAAGCTTGTTTAGTGAGCAGTTCCTACAGGAACGTCCTGCTTGAACCAAGTCAGACTCCAGACCCTGCAGACAAGTACCTAATTACTAATGAGAGACTTGAGAGTTCACTTTTGTTCTGGAGGGTTCATCTGGGAAAATGTTTCATTTTGGCACATGAGTGAGGAACAACAGCCATTCTCTAAGTAATGCAATCTGTTTCAGGCCAAAACAGACAAAAAACACAAGAGGAGGGAATTTGGGGGGTAGGGAGATACTTGGTCTGTTGGTCTGTTATTACTAGTTTTCCTCAAGTCCATCGTTTAGTCATCTTGAAGTCTATTTGAGTGACCTTCTTCCACTCCAGGAAGAAGTTCACTCAATTCACCAGGACAATTCTAGTTACACAACACTCAAGTTACAAGCTAAAGGCTACCTACTGCTAGAAGACAATTTCAGGTCCTCAACTTTGAACAAACTCCTTCAATTTTTTATTATAAATATTCAAAATATGCAAATACAAATTGGCTGGTCTCATATTTTTGGCATCATTTCAATAAATAACTTTGGAAGTATCTTAAGGTAACAGCATTTAATTGTTAAGGCAAATCAATGTGAAGGCAAGTAGGTGACTCTGGAAAGTCATAAAACAATGCACATGTAATTGTCATGTGCTTATGCATACTGATTTTCATTCTAGGATCTAAAAGAACTTTAACACAGAAATATAAGGGTTATAATAGACCTTTTAAAGGTCATCTAATCCAGCCTCCAGCCATGGGTAGGAACACTTTCCACTAGGCCGGGTTGCTCCAAGCACCATCCAACCTGACCTTGGATACTTTGAGGGATGGGGCATCACCACTTCACAGTCTTCCTTAAATCTAGTCTGAATCTACACTCTTAAGTTAAAGCCATAACCCTGTGTCTAATCATTACAGAATCATTACTGAAAAGTCTGTCTCCTCTCAACTATTCATCAAGCAAAGCTCTTGGAAAAGCACAGTGATATACAGCAACTGAATCAAATCACGTAGATGCTGGAGGCTCAACTCAATGTGCCATCATACATGTAAGCATTAAGTGGCTATTGGAAAGATCGGCTGAAGGTCCTCAAGCTCAGGGACCTGATCAACTGTCTCCTGTAAAGTACTTCAGACCAAGCACTCTAAGTTAGACATACAGAAACTTTTCTGAAAGGTCTTAAAAAGGAAAAAAAAACCAACATGGTTTTCTTCTGCACCCTAACAGCCAGGTATCTGGTCTTTCACTGCAATTTAAAGAATTTCTACCTCAACTATGAGAACACCCTTAGCGCTGAACTAAAATTTATCTAAGATGGGATGGTGTTCCTCAGCAAGAGAGAACAGTCCAAAAGCCCAGTCTCCTCTATCAAATCCCTATGTTTGCCTTGGGTTGATTTGGGTATTTGCTCTTTCTCTTCTTTGTTAATTCTTTTTACTGGAGGAGCAGGATACATTGTTTGCTTTGTGTTACTTTGGTGCTTTGTTTTTATAATGACTTCCATTACTCCCATTGCCATTCTTAGAGAAGCATTTGACTTATGCACTGATTCCTAAAACCTCACAAGGCTCTTTGTTCACGATGGACAAGAGGCTCTGGCTTATCCAAGCATTAGCTTCCAGCTCTTCCCAAGAATTCGGTAATGCAGGTATAACTGTAGACATGCAGCACACCACAAGCAGACAGCAGCATAACCACAACGGCAATATGAAGTAGCTTTAATATACTTGAGAGCAGCAGCAACAATTCAGTCTTTTCTACAGCACAGGCTTTATCTTCTTATGAAGATGGACAGAGTTCTGGAGCTCTGCAGGCAAACACAGTCTGCTGACAGAGCACTGCAATCATCTGCATGGTCTTCTAATCCATAAAAATCGTCTTCTGGAGCTGGACATGAGAATTTCACAAATCAAAAACAGCACCACAGCATGACTCAATATTGTCCATCTTCAGGCACCAGACTGTTCACTCCATATGCAACTGCTACTAGCCAAGCTAGAGAGCAGACCCGAATGTGACATGAAGCCATTATTAGGTTTATTCCCCTGTTCAAAGCCCATTACTTTCCTGATTCTGAAAATAAATGGATTGCAATGGTCTTGGTGTATGTAAGTGAGATTAGTCTTAACTGCTCTTGTGGATGTATCTCATTACCAACAGAACCAGACAAAAATACTTAGAAACCAAGTTGCCCATGTTTCTATGCCATCTTTGGACTGCTGCAGACTGCTGTGATCCTCCACACATTGAAAAGGGAAACAAAAAGATAAACTTGCACTTTATTTGTTCTTCAATTGATGGATAACAGTAAGTCAACACTTCCACAGAACATCAGCAGACAATCTTATGTCGGTGACCCGCTGATCAAAATGAAGCAATGCCAAGTGGTTCCACAGAGTTCTTCCAGCTTGGGCAGAACAAGCTCTTTCATCTCCTCTATACATGGCATTACATATACATGGTGTAGGAGCAGCAGGCAGTTGTTGATGGGTGCCTGACTCTGCTAAGCACAACTTCCTGATGGCGCTTCCTAGACATACGCTCAGAAGAAACTCATTTTAAAAAATGGCTTTGCCTCTTCTTCAAGAGGTGTTATTCTGGGGGATTCACTGGCGACATGCAAAAATCTGACTGGAAAAAGAGTATCATAATCCTGTTAAAAATAAACCTGCAAAACACTCAGTCACAAACAAAGCCAGATGCTGCAGAGGGATGGTGGCCGGCATGGCAGCGTACACACACTGCTCTGCAGAGGTCCGGCCGTGCGGGTATGGTTGCCCAATGGGCTTCCCCTTTCCTCCCGGCGACTCCTGTCCCCACACACCGGCTCTCTGAGACCCGCGGACCTGCCCACGGTACAACAGCCGGTCCCCAGAGGGACCACGAGGCACTCGGGCCGGGGGCTGGTCAGCCCCACCGGCCTGCGTGGCTTGGGCCAGGCCCATTGCAC